TGGATACTCAGTTGTCCCAGCACTATTTGTTGAAAACTATCTTTCCCTCATTTAGTTGTTTGGGCACTTTTGTTGAAAATTTGCTCAACTTCTTAAATCTGTAGGTTTATGTCTTTTGTCAAATTTCAGAAGTTTTCAGCCATTATTTCTTTGAGTATTTTTAGCCCCACCTTCTTTCTTTTCTCCTTCCAGGGCTCTGATGACACAAATGTTAGGTCTTTTGTTATAGTCACTCAACTCCATGAGACTGTGTTCATTTTTTTAAAATCTATTTTCTCTCTATTGTTAGATTGGGTAATGTCTACTTTTCTATCTACAAGTTCACTAATTCTTTCCCTGTACTCCTCCATTGTGTTGTTAAACCCACCCACTTAGTTTTTTACTCCAATTATTATATTTTTTAGTTCTAAAATTTCCATTTGGTTCTTTTTTATATCTTCTACTACTTTGCTGAGATTTTCTATTTTTTCTCTGTTTCAAGTGTTTTTGTAGTTGTTCACTGAAGCATTTTTGTCTGCTTTGAAATCTGTCAGATATTCTAACATCTCTATCATCTTGGTTTTATCATTTATTGTCTTTTTTATATAGTTTGAAATCTTCCTAGTTCTTAACATGACAATCGATTTTCAATTGAAATCTAGACATTTAGGATATTGTGCCATAAGATTTTAGATCTTATTTAAATCTTTTGTTTTAGCTGGCTTTTTCTGACACAGCAATGCAAGTGGAAGTGGGGTTGGGGAGCATGCACCACCTTATTACTGCCAGGTTGGGGGAGTTCCCCACTTGGCCTCCACTGACACCCAAGGTGGGAGGCTCCTCATTACTGGCTAGTGGGATGAAAGTTCTAATTCCCTACTTAACTTTATCTGACATGAGAAAAGGGGAGGGGGTTTGGGGCACCTTGTTATAGCCTGCTGAGGGTGGAAGTCTAGGCTCTCCACCAGACCTTTGCTGGCATGAGTTGAGGGGAGGTGTCACATTTGGTTTTTTTCATAGTTTTTGTCTGGAGTAGAGCATTTATTGTCTAAATGTTTTCTATCTGCTATACTGCCCCTTTACTGGTCCTTCAGCTAAAGAGAGCAATACTCTGGGCCTTTTTTTGTCTGTACCATTGGCACTTCCAGGTAGCCAGCTTCTTCAGTTTCAAGTCTGGAACATATGAGGCAAAAAGAAAACTCAGGGAACTAACCATCATGTTCCTTGGGTTTCCAGGGCCCTAGATGGCCTGTCTTCTCTCCATCTTTCAGAGTCTTATGTTTGTTTTATGTGTAATAGTCAACATTTTTCATTGTACTTAGTGAGAGGAAGAGGGAAAAGTAGGTCTACTCCATCTTCCCAGAAGCAGAAGTCTAAGTAGACCTTTCTATAAATAGAATCATATTTTAATCATTAGGAGATATTAATAGTTAAAGGAACTTTGAAGTTAATCCTTTCCCAGTTAATAATATTCCCTTGTGTATCTCTTCTGTACATTCAAACTATATCTTGGGTTTGCTTTAAATGAGAAATGCTTATAAATTATATACACATTTCTGAATATTGACTGCAACTGTCCTCTTCCAATATTTGAATTAAATTCCTCTAAATAATTACTTTTTAAATGTTTTTCCCTTATTGCCAACCTGAACATATTTCAGTGGAAGGCAATTCCTTAAACTGCCTAGTGTTAAAGGATTGAATGAGAATTCCCAACTTTCCAGAAGCATAAGATGGAAACATTTCTTAGAAGTTTTCTATTTTAGAAGCTTACCTGTATCTAATAGATTATTTCACTTCTCTTACTGAGTTTCTATATACTCACTAATAATTTACTATTAAAGATATTTATTTAACAACTTATGGATTTCCAGTCCTATTATTTTTTCAATAACCATTCCTCCTTCTCAAATATCTACTCTTTTATACATATTAATACCTAGTAATGCTGTCTTTTATTGCCCTCTAACTATCTGCCAGGCACTCTGCTAATGCGCTCCTAATATACTTTCATATTTAAACCTGTTTAAAGCAAGGAAAGTGAAGCTCAGAAGGACTGAACTGAAAGTGTTTGCAAGTACATACAAGCCCTCTGCCTCCCAGCTTCATGCTTGTTTTGACAGTGCTACATCCTACAAAGTAAGCATCTTTTCCTTCCAAGGTGAAAACTTATAGGTATGTTTTCTCCCTTAATGCTATTTTGTAATTTCTACCATTCTTTGATTTTTATCTTGGTCAGTTTTTTTACCTAAGAAACAAATTTTAATACAGAAATTTAAAATATAAGATATCTGTAACAGGTTCTGAAGTTAAACTCAAAGTTTATTTATGGTTTTTAATTTCAGTATATGTCATTAAAAAGTACTGACAATTCTTCAAAGTTTTATCACATAGCATTGCAGGACTGTATTTGGGTATAAAGAGAAAACACTACTGGGTAGCTGCTACTTCATGCACAAAGTGTGCCAAGAGAAAACAAATAACAGGAAATGTAAACTAAAATAAGCTGTGTTAATAAATCCTTGCTAATGATAAGAAGATTTACTGTTTAAAACATGTATTTTTAATTTAACCTAAAGGATAAAGATAAAAAGGCTACATGTCTAAGTGTCTCTTTATTCACTGCAGAACTATTTTATATTAAAATTTTAATCCACTTTCATTTAAATTTTATAAAAGAATGGATACTTAATTTGCCTAGTCTTAATTTCAAAATACTGGTAATCAATATTTTTTCTTTCAAAAAATTTTGGCCAATAAATCCTCTTGCATACACTAAATAATACTTCACTTCTTTCCAGTCCATTTCAATTATTTCCAAACTATTAATCAGGTGAATTCCTTACTAATGACTTAATCAATAGTTCTTTACATCGGTCATTATTTGCTATTCCTACACATTTAAAAAGTATTCCTGTTATTTTTCTTTAGCAAAGTAGAATATAGATACCACATACACTCTCATTTGTACAGAACAAGGCTCCCTATTCCATGATGGAAATTTTCAAATGCAGAAATAAACCCTGTTATTTGGACACATATCCCTGCAGATACACTGAACTACCATTTAGGAAGGTTTACATTAAGATATTTTTCTTGGTAATCTATTCCTATTTTGGGGGCCTCTTTTTGCTGTACACTACTGTATTCAACTGCTATCGAATTACCATCAGAAAATGTTAAAATAATAATTACGAATATTTTAGTTATTTAAAATTTTTTTCTTGCCATGTTCAATTTCCTAATGACAGAAATGGTCCTTTTTTTTTTTCTAACGTGTTTATTGGACACACTTTACAATGGTGTGTTAGTTTCTGCTTTATAACAAAGTGAATCAGCCATACATATACATATATCCCCATATCTCCTCCCTCTTGCGTCTCCCTCCCACCCTCCCTATCCCACCCCTCTAGGTGGTCACAAAGCACCCAGGTGATCTCCCTGTGCTATGTAGCTGCTTCCCACTAGCTATCTATTTTACATTTGGTAGTGTGTATATGTCTATGCCACTCTCTCACTTCGTCCCAGCTTACCCTTCCCCCTCCCCGGGTCCTCAAATATATTCTCTAGTAGGTCTGTGTCTTTATTCCCGTCTTACCCCTAGGTTCTTCATGACGTTTTTTTTTTCTTAGATTCCATATATATGTGTTAGCATACGGTATTTGTTTTTCTCTTTCTGACTTACCTCACTCTGTATGACAGACTTTAGGTCCATCCACCTCATTACAAATAACTCAATTTCCTTTCTTTTTATGGCGGAGCAATATTCCATTGTATATATGTGCCACATCTTCTTTATCCATTCATCTGTCGATGGACACTTAGGTTGCTTCCGTATCCTGGAGAAATGGTCGTTTTATACTCAAAATTTAAGTTAAATAAACTTGTTCTTTCGTAAAATGATTGTTGTTGCAAACTAAAATTATTAACAAGTTTATTAACAAGTAAGATGTCTCAGTATAAAAACACTTCCTAGTATTGGTACTCTAATTTTATCTAGAATACGCCTGGAAGGCAACAATCACTACACATTTTCAAAACATAATATATACAGCACTTGCAAGTAGGATAGTCAAAACTGTTGGCCTTTCGACACATTGACCATGTGAGGAAGAATATCATCAGCGGCATCATCACCCTAGGAAATAATTATCTAGCTATGCAAATTTAAAATATTCACATATAGTAAATTTATATAGAAGAATACTATGGGGTAAGGGCACTGCTTTTATCTATTCACTACCATTATTATAATTGAGTATATAAAAATCTACCTCTCCCATTTTGAATTATTTTCTGTTCGGAAAATAGAAGACATTTTAATTTCTCGTGATGGCCGGTTACGGAGAGGAGGACTTGTTATTTCTAAGAGCAAGAACCTAGTTTTATATGAATACACGCCTGGAGACGTAAAACCTAATTTTAGAAGGCATTTAATTTCACCTACAAAGCAGTTGATGTGTTAGAAACAGCATACCTCAAAAGCTATCCTGCAATATTAGCGGAGGACCGTCCACCGAATCTATCTACTGAAGCCATTTCTATTTTTTACCAGCGGCGATGGAACTGTATTATTGTGGAATATGCGGCACGTTCGGTGTTTTAACAGGCTCCCAGGGAAGGGCTGTCACTTTGGAGGTGGTCCTGAGGTATGGAAGTTGGGCTGGGGTAGGGTCGTCGTGCTCGGAGGCAGCTACACTTACAGGCCATTTTGGTCGAGGCCTCACAGCGCGGAGCAGCGTCCGTGCGGGTTCCTCCAGTGAGGCAGAGGCTCGGGCCCGCGCGCTGGCCGCAGGGGGCGCGAGCGGGAGCCCGGCGGCGGGCCGAAGCCCGAGGCTGCAGCGTGGGCTTAGAAACCGCTGCCACGCGCCGCCGGGCGTAGATCCATAGGCCCGCAAGCCCCGGCCACGGTTTTCCCAGCCCCGCCGCCGTTGCCACGGCGACAGCCGCCTAACGTTCCAGCTGCAGGCCCCGCCCACGCCCAATCAGACCGGCGCTAGCTGGAGCCCAGATTTTCTTTGTTCCGCAGCCATTTCAGGACCCGGAGGGGAGGGAACGCCGCTTCGGCAGAGGGCCCGAGCGCCGGAGGCCTCTGGGATGGTGTGGGACCGGGTAGGTGGCGTGAGGGTGCGCGGCCCCGGACTGGAGGGCGGGAACGGAGGCAAGCTGTTCGGAAGCTGCCTGACGGGCCGCGGGGAGAGGCACCGGACCCGCCGCCGCATTCTCGGTGCCCGCCCTGCCGTTTGGAGCCCGGCGGCGGCGGCAGCGCGGTTCTAAGCCCAACAGCTGCCCGCCCGGGCGTCCCTGGGGATCCGGGCAGGGGGCTAGCGGCGGCTCTTCAGGTGTCCGAGGTTAGAGCCTGAAGCCCGTTAGGGGCGGTGGAAGAGGGTGTGTTCCTCGGGGAGCCTTTGCCCCCGACCATTAAACCGCGGCGTTTCAGGGCCCTGGGTACCGCAGTCGCTGCCCTGGGACACCTGCTTCCCGAGGGTTCTGGGCACTGTCGGGCGCTGCCCCGGATGCCCGGTCTTTGTCCCCGCCCGGCCCCCTCTGCCTGGGTGTCCCTGGTCCACACAGACCATCGCCACCACACTCCGCTGGCTGATCGCTTTCTCCAGGTGGTTCTTTCCACTTGGGGACTCATGGTTTCACGACATGTGTACATAATTTTAATGTCTGTAACTGTACGGGTTTTGCGAGGGTTTGTGTTTTTTGCGCTTTTGCCCTTTTGTACGTCTCTCACGCGAACGCGCCACAGGGAACTGCTGCTGAGAAGCGGACCCACGCCACAGTCAACCTGTTTTGGGCATGGCTTTCATCCTTCAAAAACAATCGCCTGTTATTTGTTTCCTGATTTTAAAAATCAACTGGATTTTGCAAGGATTGCTTACAGTTTAAGTCCGTTATCTTAACAATCGCTAATCAGTTCGGTTCTTCAGCAGATAAAAATGTAGAAATTTAAAGTTGGAGACTATATCCACAAATTGATTTTGACAGTTGTATTAAGAAGCTCAGTAACGATCCTGCGTTGAAGCTCATGACTTCAATGATGAGTGCATAAATGGTGCTTTTCTTTTTTTTTTTTAATCTAAAGGAAAGATGTTTTTAAAATACAAATTGTATTGTGGAATAGGTATTTGAAACTGTAAGGTGGTAAGATGGCTGTCCTGACATGCTCATTATTAGGATAACAAGTTACTTTTGGATTTTAAGTTTCTCTGTTTTATTAAATTTTCATATTAGAATGGTAAATAAATTATGCCTAATGAAGCAGGGGAGGATTCCGTCTTTTGAAAACGATTCTGTTTTCCACTTTCACTCCCTCCTGCACCCCATTCTTCTTAGAGAGTGACTCCGCCAAGTTGAAAACTTGCAACTGCAAAAGAGAAATATTAGCTTGAAGGTGCAGATTTCTTCTTTACTCCTCAGCATATGCAACGCATAAATGTGTAAGTTTGGCAGTACGGTTTTTACTTCACCTAATTTAATGGGAGCCTAATGAACTATTAGTGCTCTATTTTCTTTTTCCTAAAAGGGGCCCCCACCAGATTAGCCTTGATGTAGTTACATCTTCATCCTAGATATTCAGGGAATTACTAAATTCCTCCCACTGAAATATCTATAAAAATATTTTAAAGTAATCGAGCTTATTATCATTATATATTGTGAGCAGGATAAGCTTTTGGTAAAAATATGTATGATTCTGGTTGTAAATCTTTCCATTATCAACACTTGTTATTGTATTCATTGTTTTTATGACTAGTTTTTCTTTATATAATGTTAAAGCCATCTCATGAGTCTGTTTTTCTAAATACTGTAAATGAACTGAATTGAAATATAAATGTACTATGTTTAGAAGAATTGCTTGCAGTCAACCATGTTGGATTCTGCAGATACTGTTTTTAAGAAAAGGAATTTGGTTATAAAGGAAGCCAAACCAAGTGACATATGTAATGAAATAAATTTAGCAAATGTAAACTGCAGAGAAGAACACAGCAGTAAGTGGAAGTTAGTTTTATTGCCCAGGGTGTAAATTATGAATATTTTTTCCTGGAATTGATATTTGAATATGTATTGGTGCCAAAAAGACCTTGTTCCTAAAAAAACAATTTGGTTTACTAGCAAAAGGGTGAGAAAGCTGAGAAAGTCAAGGTGACTGATTAACTGATGAAGTTTTTAAAAGCAGTGGAGAATAATGCCACCTTCAGAAAGGAGGATGAGAGACAGTTAAATTCCCCAGGTGTTGAAAATCTTTCTTAGTTGGTTCCATTCAACCAGTGCTATGGTAGCTATCTGGTGAGTGTTGGCAGGTAAGAGGGGTCTCCTGGGTGGCAGAGGGTGAGAACTTTACAATGGAAGACAAATGTTTACAAAAGTGGCAACTGTAGATTTACCACTACAATTACAACTACAAACTGCAATTGTAGTTACATGGATGGGTGTTAGTGTGGGAAAGAGGTTCTA